CAAGCACTAACGCACATAACCTTCACAACCCAGGGAGGTAGTTACTATTGTTAACCCTATTTTGTGGATGAAGGAATGGAGGCACAGAGAGGTGAGGTGACTTACCCAAGCTCTCACAGCCAGGAATGGTGCAGCCAGGATTCGAGCCCAAGCCAACTGACCCCACTGCCCACACCCGGCTGCCATGCTCCACTGGCCTCTAATATGGCTGTGGTCTTCTGAGCTCTTTGATGGCCTGTGACATAAAACCTTCGTGGAAGCAGTGAGTTGGTTTAAAGGCTGAAAGGGAATGAAAACATGTCCTGTGTAACCGGACAAGTGATGGGGCAGGGACACTGAGGCAGATGTTGATTTACTGAGCACCTACTATGTGCCAGGCACTGTTCCGGGGCTGGGGATACTACAGTGAATAAAGCTGCTGCTCCTGTGAGTTGGAGCTCACATTCTAGTTGGGAGGTGGACAATCATCAAGAAAATGTGCGAGGGCTGGCCAGTTAGCTCAGCTGGTTAGATCACAGCCTTATAATACCAACATCATGGGTTCAGATCCAGGTAACTGCCAGCTGCCCAAAAAGAAAAAAGAAAAAGAAAATGTGCTATATACAGCCCAGTAGTCAGAAGTACTAGGCTGGACAACAAAGCCAGGAGGCAGAGAGAGAAGGAGGTCAGAGACGGGTGAGTTTAAACAGAGGCCTGAGTGCAGGGAGGGACCTCTCCACTTGAAGACCTACAAAAGCCACCCAGATGGAGGGAAGCACAGTGTCTGTGTCCCTGGGTGGGGAGGGCCAGTGTGGTCAGGATGGAGCAAACGAGGAGTCGAAGCCAGACAGACGTGTCAATTGGGCCTTGCACACTGGGTAAGGACTTCAGAGGTTTCCAGTAGGTGTGCCGCATGATCCAACTCAGATTTTTAGTGGGATCCCTCAAGGTGTAGTGTGAAATAGAGCCTGCAGAGGGACAGAGGTGGAAGCTGTTGACCATTAGGAGGCTATTTTAGGGTAGAGCACACAAAAAGGTCAGAGAGCCCCTGGAGAGCAAGGGCTGGTGTTAATAAACCCTGCCTGCTGAGAAACACATAGACACTGTTCTCAGCATGCTCAGAGACTAGACATTCCTCCACTCAACAAATATTTATTGAAAGCCTTTTCTATATGCCAGTTACTACTCTGGGTGCTTGGAACACATCAGTGACCAAAACAGACAGAGACCCCTGCCCCCTGGAGCTTATATTCTTGTAGGGAGAAACAGAAAGTAAGTAATAAATAGTAATCAAGTCAGATTATATAGAATTTAGAAGGTAGTGCTATAGAAAAAGAAAAAGGCTGAGTGAGAAAGGGAAGATTGTTTGTGGAGGGGAAAACTCACAATTTTCAGTAGGGTTGTTAAAGCAGATCTCATAGAAAAAGGGGTATTGGAGCAATGAAAGAAAGCATGAGATGAAATCACCAAATAAGTGCATATCTGCTGAATGCCTACTATGTGTCAGAACTAGGCACAGGGACATAGCAGTGAATCAAATGTCCCTATCTTGAGACTGAGGCTGCTGAGAGGGCCCCAGTTCCCGCCAGCCCCAGCCCATGTTCTGGAGGTGGGTGAGTGCTTCAAGGAGGCAGAGGCAGCTTAGCTCAGGCCAGCCTGGCTCTGTCTCCCCTGCAGACGCCCAGCGCAGACCTCTTCCACTACGACAGCATGAACACAGTCAACTGGGGCATGCGAGGTGAGTGCGGACCCTGCAGGGGTCTGCAGGAGGAGAGCCCCTCCCGGAACTTCCTAGGGCCTCCGGATGTGTTGCTCATAACTGCTGCTTGACCTTCTGCAGTGATTGCTGCAGATTCTGTCCCCACGCTGGGCTCTGTCCAAACCCTGAGTTCCCACTCCCTTTCACTTCCCACTCTCTTCCTTTTCCCTCGCTCTTCCCTCATCCTCTCAAGTGCTGGCCTTGGGTGAGCTCCAGGCCATCTGTCCCATCTGGGTTCCTAGAGCCATCACAGAGTGCTGTTCTCCCTGTATGCAGAGCCAGTGTCGCCTGCCAGCCCCAGTGGAGGGAAGCACTCACAGCCAAATGCTCATTGTTCCCAGTAAAAACTCCATGAACTTCATGCTCTCTGCCAGTGGAGCTCTCACGCCAGCTCTACCACTTCCTATGAGCAGTCTCAGTTGGGGGGCAGCCTATAAAAACCCTGGAGGATCCCCCCCCCAGAAGATGAAGGGCTTACCCATATTCTTCATGATCTCAGATTCCTCTTATTTCTATTCTAAGTACCTCAAAAGTCATTTTACCCCCTAAAACCATCTCAAGATCAGCTCAGTCCCTATCCCTAGCCATCCACTTTGCTTTAATTATCCTCCACCAGCCTTAATTATCCTCCAGGGTGAATTAAGCAAAGACAGGGTCTCTGGCTAGCCAAGAGAAGGAGATGGTGGAGGCCAGACCTCTTGAGAGACTAAGACAAAGGCCAGTGTAGTGTCCCAAAGCAAAGACTGATGGGTTCTACTTTGTCTGTCTTTTTTCCCTCTGCAGAGTACAAGGTAAAGAACATGCACAGACACTGGGGTCTCCGGGATTCTGGGAGCTGCTACATTGGGGACCATTGGGAAGATGACAGCACCGTCTATGCAGGGAAGGGAACATAGACAAATAACCTCCAGGGTCCTTTCAAGACTAACATTTCCTTTCCCTCTTTTGCCCACTTGCCCTGAATTCTGCCCTAGTTCTCTCACCTACTGAAATCAGACAGTTCCCCTGGCTTCAAAGACTCTCAGGTGGCTTGCCAGTCACTAAATCTTGGACACTTATATTCAGGAGTCCTTGTGCATATATTAATGCCAAATGCTACCATGCTTATCTGTGGCAGTATTAGAGGACTCTCTGGAGTCTTGCTTTAAGGAGAAGGTGCCTTGAGGCTGCTTGGCGACCCCAAGGAGAGCAGACCCAGTCCCTCCTCCAGAATTAATCTCTGGCTCTTTCTGGATAGGGCAGGGACCCAGACACAAAATATAGCTGAAAAGGACAAGCTCACCACCTCCACCCAAATAGCTCCTTCCTTTATTCTTAGATCTACCCTTATGAACTGCTGCTGGTGACTACAAGAGGGAGAAACCGACTGCCCAAGGATGTGGACCGGACCCGTTTAGAGGTAAGTGTAGAAAACTGAGCAGGAGCCTTTAGGTTTGGAGGGATTCCAGAGGTTACCTGGTCTAACCCAGCTCAGGTAGGGTGGGCAGAATGAATGGCTTTCAGGTCACACCGCTTGATGAAAAAGCAGAGGCTTGGAGCAGTTTCCTCAGCCATAGACTATTCCATGCTGTCCTGGGTTGCCTCCTCTTCAACTCAATTAGCATCTGTGGAGCACAGCAACAGCGTGTCCTCACCTGATGCTGGTGCTTCTGCAGACATAAGAGGAGAGCTAGGTCTGGCCTACACCCTCAAGGAGCCTGCAATCTCAGGACTGTACATAAAACTAGTGCTTGTGATTGGGGAGGAGGTAACACTGTGTAGACAGTTAAAGCGACAGCAACAGCGTGTCCTCACCTGATGCTGGTGCTTCTGCAGACATAAGAGGAGAGCTAGGTTTGGCCTACACCCTCAAGGAGCCTGCAGTCTCAGGACTGTACATAAAACTAGTGCTTGTGATTGGGGAGGAGGTAACACTGTGTAGACGGTTAAAGCATAAATAAGTCAAAGGCCCCAGGTTCCAACTCTGATTCTGCCATCACTAGGTGGGCAGCTTCAGCTAAGTGACAGCCTCACTTAAACCTTAGTTTTCTCCTCTGTAAAGTGAGGGTGATTGTAACGCTTCCCTCAGGTCACCAAGAGATGTGAATGAGACCATGCACATAAAGCCCTTAGCACAGAGTCTGGCAGTTGAGTCTGGATTAAGCACTCAATAAATGTTGGATTGGATTATTCAGAGAAGACCCCTGAGGCCTGGGTGGTTGACACAGGCTTGCAGGAAGAGGAAGGAAGTGGGTGGGCTTTGAAGACGGGCAAGGTTTGGGTGGATGGAGAGAAGGAGGAGAGCAACATGAATGGTGCAAGCGGCACAAAGGTGCAGAGGTGGGCCAGAGCCCAGCATGGGGCATCCGAGCAGTCCACGGCCTGGAGTTTCACTCCTCTGATCAGGAGTACACTCTGCTCTTTCAAGCCAGTGTCTCTCCCTGCCTCTCCCTTTGCCTAAAATGCCCCTCCCATCCTGCCAGCCTCTTCCCTCCTTAGGCCCCCACACTGCATGCCAAAGCCACCTTCAGCCCCCCCAGGATGGGCCACTTGCCTCTTCCTCCAGCCTCCCATAGCTTGTGTCCAAAGTGCAGATCACGAACCTCTCACTCTCCTTTATATCAGATCGTTGGCTTCTCCACTTCTTCTGCCTGACCCTGAGCTACTTAGGGGCCTGGGCCGGGAGAGGTGTCAGGAAATTGTGGAATTGGACTCAGGCTTCTGAAAGAGGATGCTTGGCACTCCTTGGGAAGAGCATGTGAGCCACCTCTGACCTGATGCTGAGAAATTCGCCCAGGGTGGAGGGCTGGGGCAGAAGGAGGGGGATGCGAGTAGTCCAGGAAGTTCTGCACATCCTTCCAGCTCTAGCATGCTGGGTTAGCAGCCAAAGGAAGCGAATGATTCTCCCCACATTTACAAGGTCTCCTCCTTTCACCATCTCCCAGTGCTGAAGGGGACAGCTCCCAGGGCAGCTTGGTGGAGCCAGCGTGAAGGAATGGGAACATTCTCCAGAATACCCAGAAGCTCACACCTGGGAAGCTCAACCTTTCCTGAGCATCAGAATCACCCAGGGAGACTTTAAAAAATACTCTTCAGGGGCCCTACTATAGATCAGTTGAACCACAATCTGGGGAAGGAGCTCAGCATCGGTACTTTTTAAAAGCTCCCAGATATGTCTAATATATAGCCCGAGCTGAGACCACTGAGCTAGCGACCTACCCTTTCAGAGAGGGGCCTTAGGAAGGAAGGCTCTGACCCTGTCCTCAAGCTCCTTCAATTCCCAATTAGCTAATATAATTGCTACCAACAGGTCAGCTCAGTGAATCCAGTAAGTTTTTATGCAGGACATATGGCATATATTTCTCTTTTTAAACTTAATTTTAAATTTCATTTTGAAGAATTTCAGACCTCCAGAAAAGTTGCAAGTATAATGAAACGAACACTCATCTACGTTTCACCACCTAGATGCACCAATTGTTAACATTTTGCCACGTTTTAAGTGCAGTATATTTCTCACTGTAAAAGCTTTTGACAGTGTATCCCACTTTCAAGGCCTCTGAGAAGGGAGAAAGGGAAGGAGGACAGAAAGGGGGACACATACCACCTAGATGCACCAATTGTTAACATTTTGCCACGTTTTAAGTGCAGTATATTTCTCACTCTAAAAGCTTTTGACAGTGTATCCCACTTTCAAGGCCTCTGAGAAGGGAGAAAGGGAAGGAGGACAGAAAGGGGGACACATCAGCCATGGAAGGCAGAACAATGTTTGATTATGTGGCATACTTGTTTTCATATAAAGAAGAGATAAATGGACATTTCAGTGTGTCAAGAAACATGAGCAGTAGTTTTATTTCATTGGCCTGATAAACAGCCTTCCAAATTACTTGTAAAAATATTGAAGAGGAAATCCACCCTAAAATCTTGGACATGCCTCCTTTTTCTCCCAAAGAGGAGTGGGACAGCATTAACTCATATACACTTCTGGGCACAGATACCTGGAACAGGGGTGCACAAATGTGAGGTCAACGAGGTGCACCATTAGAAAGCATAAGTCCCATCCAAGTCATGGGCAGGGGAGGCCTGTCCAGCTAGATCAGTTCTAGAGGTCCCTAAAGGGGACCATTCCCACATTCATCCATTCAACAATATATGTCACACACCTCCCTGGGCCAGACACTGAGCCAGGCACAGGGTGCCCAGAGGGACACACAGTGTCCACTGCTGCCTCCACCCGCTGCAGCCTACACCTCACGTCCTCACGCTGTTCTCTCTCTGCCCCTCCCACCTCCTTCAGCGCCACCTGTCCCAGGAAGAGTTCTACCAAGTCTTCGGCATGACCATCTCTGAGTTTGACCGGCTGGCCCTTTGGAAGAGGAATGAACTGAAGAAGCAAGCCCGGCTGTTCTAGGCAGAGGCTCTATAAATATATATATGCATTTATATAAAGCTATATGTAGAATCTCTATACTGAAGCTCGGTATAATCCTCTCTTGTGTAATGGGACATGCTGCCTGCCATGAGACTTGCTTTTCTGTACTGTCAGGCAAGCCCACATCATCAAGGTATTTTTATGCTCCTTACTTTCTCTTTTCTAAGTGCTGTGGGATCTGGGAAGGGATTTGAGAAGACTCTGTCCTTTTACTGGGGATCCTTTTTATACTGAAACATCTGTCCTGACTTGAGTCCCCCAAGATCCAACTCTCTTTTTTAAAAAGAAGGTGCCTGAAGAAGTCTCCCTCCTTTCGGCTTCTTGGCCCTGTTCCCACAGCTCCAGGGCTGATGCTGACCATGCAGTGTTCACAGCTTATTGGCCCCAGAGGGGCCCTCCCATGGGAGGATCCAAGGTGATCTCCCAAAGTCACTGAGCACCTTTGAAAGCTCATGAGAGCTCAGTACTCTAGAGGGGTACTGCAGTTAGAAGTGTGAGCCTCAGATCTCCTCATCACAGCAGTAAACAGAAGTGGACAGGGCCTTGGCCTCTGCTTAGCTCTTCAACCCTCCTTCTGCCCTTGGTCCTAACATCACCCTTGTCCAAATCTAAGACTCATGGCAGGAAAAGAAAAAAGGCACTTCCTTCCCTCCATCACTTCCAGCCCCTTTGCCTGGCCTTGGAGAACCAGAAGAAAGGAGAGGGAGCTGGAGCGAAAGATAGAGCAGGGCACCTGTTAGAGTCAGAGCTGCAGGACCTCCTGGGACCCTCTTCTTTCCCTCACTTCTCCCAGCAACTCCTGACCTTTCCCCTTTCAAGGAGAGGCCCATTATTGCAGCCTGTATTCTTCAGCCTTATTACAATCTATGTGCCTGACAACACAACACACCACAGGGCTAATGTTCCTACCACAGTTCCAACCGAACAACTAGAGAGACAACTCCCCCCACCCCTCTAGAGGTAAAATAGGACATGTCCCATAGGATGGCTCTTGGTCTAAGCCTCTGGTCCCTGGGCTGGCAGGGCCATCGTGCTGGACCCCACCAGTCCTCAGCTCCTGCTGCAAAGTGGCCATGTTTCATGGGGGAAACTTTTGGGAGAGTGGCTGCTTATAAGATTCCAAAAGCAAGCGTTGGCTGACACTGCTCGTGGTCATCCTGGATTCCCCCGATGGCTGCATTTCCTGCATTTCCTTCCTTGCCTTCTGGCGCAAGGGTGAAAGCTTAACCCTCTCTCCTCCCCTCCCAGAGGGGCCCTCCCATGGGAGGATCCAAGGTGATCTCCCAAAGTCACTGAGCACCTTTGAGAGCTCATGAGAGCTCAGTACTCTAGGGGGGTGGTGCAGTTAGAAGTGTGAGCCTCAGATCTCCTCATTACAGCAGTAAACAGAAGTGGACAGGGCCTTGGCCTCTGCTTAGCTCTTCAACCCTCCTTCTGCCCTTGGTCCTAACATCACCCTTGTCCAAATCTAAGACTCATGGCAGGAAAAGAAAAAAGGCACTTCCTTCCCTCCATCACTTCCAGCCCCTTTGCCTGGCCTTGGAGAACCAGAAGAAAGGAGAGGGAGCTGGAGCGAAAGATAGAGCAGGGCACCTGTTAGAGTCAGAGCTGCAGGACCTCCTGGGACCCTCTTCTTTCCCTCACTTCTCCCAGCAACTCCTGACCTTTCCCCTTTCAAGGAAAGGCCCATTATTGCAGCCTGTATTCTTCAGCCTTATTACAATCTATGTGCCTGACAACACAACACACCACAGGGCTAATGTTCCCACCACAGTTCCAACCGAACAACTAGAGAGACAACTCCCCCCACCCCTCTAGAGGTAAAATAGGACATGTCCCATAGAATGGCTCTTGGTCTAAGCCTCTGGTCCCTGGGCTGGCAGGGCCATCGTGCTGGACCCCACCAGTCCTCAGCTCCTGCTGCAAAGTGGCCATGTTTCATGGGGGAAACTTTTGGGAGAGTGGCTGCTTATAAGATTCCAAAAGCAAGCGTTGGCTGACACTGCTCGTGGTCATCCTGGATTCCCCCGATGGCTGCATTTCCTGCCTCCTTGCCTTCTGGCGCAAGGGTGAAAGCTTAACCCTCTCTCCTCCCCTTTCTAAACCTTCAGCCCTGAGATGGTGATGTTTGGTGGGGGCTGTTCTTTCTTGGAGATTCCTTGAATCAGACCATTTTGAGGTCACGAAAGAAGGATGAAGAATTGGAAATGACAATAATAACTCTCAAGAGGCTGGTGATGTAACGTGGCTAATGTAGAACTGACTTCAATTCAACAAACCCTCACTGAGCACCTGCTGATGCTGAGCACCTGCTGAATACTGAGCACTGATTGGGGGAGGGGGAGGGGAACACGGGGTTGAATCAACATGGGCCCGGTCTCAGAGGCATGCCTACTAATAGTGGGCATTGCAAGACATGTACCCGACATAATGGGTGTGAGGCAGAAAGTGATAGGAGAAGGCATGAGAAAGTGTTTGTGACATTACTGGAAAGGCGTATGCAGTTAGAGCAGACCAAAGAAAGCTTTCTGGAAGAGATCTCATTTGAGCAACCTTCAGGAAGGGTCTTTATAAACTGGAAGAACTGCAAGTTGTAAGGGTGAGAGGGTGCGGGGCCACAAGAGAAGTCTAACATGCCCTCATTTAAAATGTCAACCCTCCCTGCAATTTCTCTTTTTGGCCAATGTCTTTTGACTTTCCTGACCCTTTAGAAATGTCCCCAGCCAGATGTAATCATTGAAACTGCCTCATTATCACTGGTTGAGAACTTGGAAAGATTGAAGGGCTTTTGTTTTTGCTGTTGGATATTTTTGTTTCCCATAAAAGCACATCATTTCAACCCAGACCTGTGTCCTCCTGTTATTTCTAGTGTGAGTGGAAATGACTGGCTTGGATAGAGGCTGAACCATATACGTTTTTCAAAACAAAAGCACTAAGAGGCAGCCCCTCCTTTGGCCTCAGTTTCTCCTGTAAAATGAGAAAGTTTGACAAGGTAAACATTACTCAGATTATTTTCTGCAAAATGCAGGGTCCCTTGATGTAGTAGAGGATGTTTCAACAACAAATAAGGTTCCGTGATCAAAAATAGCAATAATAGTTCCTCATTATTAAGCTCCAATAATGTGCCAAGTTCTGTGTGAGGACTTTACACCCACCATCTTATTTAAGCCTCTGTAACAACCCAAGACGTAGCCATTTTTAATATCTTCATCTCATGGATGAGGAAGCAGCTTTAAAGAGGACACATAATTACCACCAGTAGAGCCAGGAGTCAATTCCAGCCTGTCTGACTGAGAGACAAGCCCCTCACTCTTACCAGACAGGATCATTTCAGCTGCAAGGAAACAGGACCTTATTAAAAGTGGCTTAAACAATGAGAGCACATGTCGTCTTGCACAACCAGAAGTCCACGGTGCAGGGTTAGTACCTTCAACAGCTCAAGAATGCAGTCAAGAGATAGGTTCTTTGCATCTCTTTTCTCCACCATCCTCGGCCTATTGGCTTTTGTCATCAGCCAATGTGTCCCCTCATGTTTACAAGAGGCTGCTGTGGCTTCAGGCATCACATCCTCATACGACCACACCAACAGGAGAGATACCTCCCTTTGCATATCTATTTTAATCAGAATAACTTTCACAGAAGTCCTCAGTAGACTCTGCTTAGGTCCCACTGGCCAGAACTAGGGATTATGTCCATGTCCTTGCTGCAGTGAAGGCTGAAGAAGAGAGAACCTGGCATTTTCAGCCTCAATAGTGTTATCAGGTCTCCGATGACAAGGAAGAAAGATGGGCAGAAAATGACTGGCCTCCAGGTGAGTGAATCACAGCGTCTCTGCTACAACCGCTGTGCCATTAAAGAGCACATGGTGTCCCCTCTCATGTAGACTCACATGCGCATTGCTAAAAGCCCTGAGAAGGCCTGCAGAACTTTAATTAATCCAATATTTCACAAACTAATTTGACATAAACTCTGTTTAAGGAAGGCTGGTCTTACTGTATTTCATCTATTCTAAGATGTACAGTTTTTTCACATTTTGCCATTTCTGACGATGAGTTGTGACCTTAAAATTAAAAATAGCTTCTTTCCTGACCTCTCATTCTATGACCCTTTAATAAGAACCAATCTATTATCCCTGTCTTAGTCTGTTTTCTGCTGTTATAACAGAAAACCACAGACTGAGTAATTTATAAAGAAAAGAGATTTATTTGACTCACATTTCTGGAGGTTGGGGGTCTAAGATAGAGGGGCCGCATCTGGCGAGGGCCTTCTCACTGCATCATAACCTGGCAGAAGGTATCATATAAAAAGGAATGACAGGAAAGAGAGAGAGAGAGAGAAAGAAAGGGGCCTATTGCCTGCGATAACTCACCCACTCCCGCGATAATGACGTTAATCCATTCATGAGGGAAAGACCCTCATGACCTAATCACCTCTTAAAGGTCCCGCCTGTCAACATTGTTGCGATGGCAGTTAAATCTCGACATGAGTTTTGGAGGGGACATTCAAACCATAGCAACCCCTATCACAGCCCCTCCAGACAGGTGGCTCAAATATGCAAAAGGATATGCAAGAATGTGCCTTTGTTCCCTGCTTACACATGCACTTGACAAATATTTACTTACAAATATTTGCTTACTGAGCATCTGCTGACAGGCTGGAGCACTGAGGGTACAACAGTGTGAAAGTGTGAGCTCTCCTTGTGTACTCTAGTCTGGAAGAGAAAGAGATTGTAAAAAATAAACAGAAAAAGAATTGGGAAGGAAGATAACTGCTACAGAGACAGCAAATAAGGTATCTGGGAAAGGAACTCACTTTATATGCTTACCGAAAGATGAAAACCAAGTACCTGGGGAAAAGTAGGGGTGGGAGCATTCTAGACACAGGGAATGGTGTATGCAAAGGCACTGGGGCAGATGAGAGCTTGGCTTATTTGAAGAACTAAAAGTGCCAGTGAGGATGGAGTGGAGTGAGTGAAGGAGAGAGTGAGATAAGAAGAGGTGGGAAGGCAGGCAGGGGCCAGAACACGCAGAGGGTCTGGAAGGA